TGCGGATGGGCTGGGAGGAGGGAGCTGGAACCAGTTCTAAACAGCACTGTAGATTTATGGAACCTCTTCTATAGAAGAGGTTAGAACAAGCAGGAACCCACCCCTGCTATCTAGTACTGTAGAATTACAGTATTAAGTCTTTTTGTAATATGCATCTGTGCTACTGCCATCTAGTGGTAAAGAGGCAAACCAGCATCATCTCGTCCTGTCCTGGTTTGCTTTGAATCAGAAAAGTTCGTAGCTTGTCTGAGCATGCTGTCTCAGTGGTTTGGCCAGACTGGAAGTCTTTTCCACACGAGTTACTTATTATATTGGGATGAAAACACTGAATGAAGCAATGCAATGAGTAAACGTATTCCTAGGTAACCAGAGGTCAAAACTAAAACCCTTAATGCTGCTTTCCCATTTCCCTTTCCGAGAGAGCGAGACCTTTCCCTCTGACCAGGGCTCAGTAATGTCAGGGCTGCCAAGAGAAGATTTATTAAAGGCAGGTCTGAAACTCAGCAATAGCAGCTGGAAGCCAGATGATCCAGCAATGTGCTTTGCTGATTGAGGGGTTAGATCTAAGGGCCAGAAGGGGAGATTGGAAGCAACAGAGGGATTCTCACCCTCCCAAAACCCTTCCAGATCCTGCCCAGGACACTGGCTTGTTTACACTGGGTTCCTGTACCTAGCCAACCTTCTGGCCTGACTTTGCCAAAACTAGCTGCCGTATTCTTTCTGCCCAGAAGTAACTTAATTTCTTGTAAGTGTAATTTAGGAATAAATATACATAGTTTATACTTTAAAAAGACATTTAATAATGTAGGTTGATGGTATAGAGCAGTGATGGCTAAACCTTTCTGGATTGAGTGCCCAACGCATGCCCCAGAGCCCCCAAAATGCAATGTGCGCTTGCCCCTGTGCATGCGCCCCACCCTTGTGCATGCATGCGCCCCCTGCATGCCTCTGCACATGTGTGTGCGCCAGTGGTGGATTCAGGATCCTGTCACAACCGATACACTGCGACAGGGCCAGGCATCCACCACATGCACACATACTGTGCATGCATGCACAGCCACAGCCCACGGTGCTCCAGCTGCTTGGTGGAGCATCGCACAGGCATTGTACACTGCGTGCGCATGCACAAATGGCCCGGTTGTGTCAAATACAGCTCAGGAACATGGGCGGGCAGGTGCGCCCTCTGAAGCACTGTACCGGAACGGTGCCTGCTGCTCCCAGCAAGCACCGATACACCCATACCGGGGCGTACCGTCCGCAACCCACCACTGGTGTGCACCCGCCCCGCATGCATTCCACCTCGACATATGCACATGCTGCTCCCCACATGCATCCTACCCCCTGCACATGCACATGTGGGCCCTGGCCCCACATGTGCCCTGCCCCCATGGGCAGAGACCTGGAGACCAGCTGGCCAGTAGGCATGCGTACATGCATGGCAGAGCTGAACTAAGGCTACGGCTCATCAGAGAGGGCGCTGCATACCATCACAGAGATAGGCAATAGGTTGCCCTCAATTTACAACCACAATTACGCCCAAAATTTCTGTTGCTAGGTAGTTGTTAAGTGAGGTTTGTCCCATTTTATGATCTTTTTTGCTATAGTTGTTTAATGAATCACTGCAATTGTTAAGTGAATCATTGTTAAACAAATCTGGCTTCCCCCATTGACTTTGCTTGTCGGAAGCTGGCTGGGAAAGTTACAAATGGTGTTTACAAGATCCTGGGACAGAGCAACTGTCATAAATACATGCCAATGGCAAGCACCCAAATTTTGATCAGGTGATCATGAGACTACTGCAATGGTCGTAAGTATGAAAAATGGTAACAAATCACTTTTTTCAATGCCATTGTAATGTCAAATGTTCACTAAACAACTGGTTGTAAAATGAAGACTACCTGTAAAAGATCGTGTAAACGTTGAACTGATATGTACTCTATGAAGCTTAGGTCTACAAGTTCAAGAGAGGTTGCTCTGTTATCATTTTAATAAAATATTATGAGACAAAAAATCTTGCACTGCTTTCAACATTATAGCATTTATTATTATTACAGAAGCATTTGTAAATGCAGACCTTAAATCGGATATTTGAAATGATATTATGCGTTACATTCACATGCTGACTATAGACACAAACATCCTTGCATTGGTGAGCTGATTAATGTGAATAAAAGCTTTTGGCCAGAGCAAGGGAGATGAGTTGGAACTTTCCAATAAATTAGAGGTTTGTTGAAATGCAAAATCTAGCCATTATCACACCCAAGTTCTCTTCCACTGATTTAAAATCTAAGAAAGTAGTTGGGATATTATTCTGATAGAAGAGTTTCCAGCAGGATATCTGTCCATCACAATGTCTGTCCACTCATCAATGTCCTCAAATACCCCCTTGAATGCACCACCACTATGGAATTTTGGGTAGATAAGCTCTGTCTTCTAAGCATCACTCACCCTTGTTCTTTTTTCACTTAAAAGACCTTTGAGCCTACTTGAATTGCAGGGACTTTTTAAGGTTGGAGAATTAAGATTAGTTTTTGACTTCTTAGAATTTCCAAAGCCTTTACAACACACACACAAAAGGGAAAGGACAATGAGTTATGTTACTAAGTACAGGTAGTCCTTGACTTACAGCCACAATTGACCCCAAAATTTCTTTTGTTGAGTGAGACATTTGTTTAGAGAATTTTGCCTGATTTTAAGAACTGTTCTTCCCATAGTTGTTAAATCAATGAATCTCGTTTTCCCCTTGACTCTGTTATAAGTTGACAACTATCTGTAGTTCAGGGATGATGGTGGGATGAAACTAAGACTTTTCAATTATAATATTAATCAAAGCAATGTAGGGAAGGTGTTGTGTGAGTCTCCTATGTGAGGAAAGGAGTCTGGATATGTTTCTGTAAGATATTTGTGAAAATGCAAGCTGCTTGGTATTTGGCGGTCAGATTATTTGGGATTTGGTCTGGAAAAGCAACTTCTCTACTCTATTCTCAATTTCTTGCACAAATTGTCTTTTATAAATAGATTCTGATGTGTTTCTCAAATTTTGGAACTTGCACAATTGGGCTAGGGAGAATGCATTAAAAAAGATAACTGCGCTACAGTACAGTATATTCTTAATTTTTTAAAAAATATATTTCAGTCAGATTGGCATATAAAATAGCAGGCCAAGTAGCACATTGCATTTGTATTTACATATAAATATTTAAAGAGACATCACGGAGGAAATCTATGTGGTTACTAAGAGTCAACACTGACTTGACGGGACATAATCAACTGTCTCAGAGACAAAGGGTCAGCACTGAACCTCAGCAGCTTCAGTTTTAGATTTCAGAAATTCACACTAACTAATTCAATTTGAATAAAAAAAATGAGTTCCTGCTACAAAAGTAGGTAGAGGTTGCTTGGTCACATAACTGGAATAACAGGAGCAAAATCACCAAGCAGATATGTGAATGAATATATTGAGAGGAAGGGGAAATCTGAGAAAGCTCTGGTGGGATGGAATTGATGAGAACATATTGATGAGATATATTTGATGAATACATCAATTATATGAGATATAATTGATGAAACATATCTCATCAATTTCATCATATGAAGAATGGTTACAGGCAATGGGTAAGGCTAATCTAGAGAAAAGGAGGACTAGGGGGTGACATGATTGCAGTATTCCAGTATTTGTGGGGCTGCCACAAAAAAGAGGGGATCAACTTATTTTCCAAAGTAGCAGAAGGGAAGACCAGAAACAATGGATGGAAACTAATCAAGCAGAGAAGCAACCTGGAATTAAGGAAAACTTCCTAACAGTGAGGATAATTAACCAATGGAACCACTTGCCTTCAGACGTTGTGGGTGCTACATCATTGGAGGTTCTTAAGAAGAGACTGGACAGCCACTTCTCTGAAATAGTATAGGGTCTTCTGCTTGAGCAGGGGGTTGGACTAGAAGACCTCCAAGGTCCGTTCCAGATCTATTCTGATTAAAGATGCTCAAAGAGACAGAGATGAAAGGATCAAAAGGTATTGAATGAAGCTGTGTATGGATGTGATGCAAGCAAAAATAGTTTGCAAGGCACCTTTGAGTTAGTCGTATTGCATTAAACTATAAATAAATTTATTTATTTCCATTTCCCTTATTTTCTCCCTTTACAGTATTTTTTTCTTACTATGTCTTACTCATTTTCTTCATTTCATTTTCATTTTCCCTTTATTTGTATGCCGCCATTTTCCCTGGGGGGACTCAGGGCGGCTCACAGTTCAAAAAAGGGGGGGGAAGAACAAACAATTTCTGTGCTCTGTATATTGTTATTTATCCTGAAAAGGTCTAATGTGTTTTTATGAAGATGTGTATTAATGCCTTTGGCCAGGTACGCTAATTTTGCTATTAAGTTGGATGGGTATTTGAAATAACTGAACTCATGTTCAAAATTGCAGAAACAACGATATAAAAAAGAGGCAGAGTTTCAGTTATGCAGTCATGGTCCCCATCTTGACTTTTTTTGATCATGTGGAGGATATCCCTGTTGTACAGATAGTCCTCAACTTACAACCATTCATTTGGTGACCGTTCGAAGCTACAACAGCACTGAAAATGTGAGATGATCATTTTTCACACTTTCAACCATTGCAGTATCCCGGTAGTCACATGTCAAAATTTGGACACTTGGCAACTGGCATGTATTTATGACGGTTGCATTGTCTCAGGGAAACGTGATCCTCTTTTGTGACCTTCTGACAAGCAAAGTCAACGGGGAAGCTGGATTTACTTAATGATCATGGTACTAAGTTAACAACTGCAGTGATTCACTTAGTAACTGTGACCAGAAAGGTCATAAATATGGGACAAAACCCCATTAACAGCTGCCTGGTTTAGCAACAGAAATTTTAGACTCAGTTGTGATCGTAAGTTGAGGACTCCCTCATAGAAAAAAGCTCCCATAGGACATTGAACATTTAGATTCGCACTTGCGACATTATCAAGCCATGCATTATGTAGATACAGCGCTAAATGGGAAATGATGGCTCTAAGCCTTTAGGAGAGGGTGCTGTGTTACTGCTTGTTTGACTAACTTTTCTAACCAGAAGCAGCTTTCTGGGGCACAAAGCACTCCAGATCTGCCTCTGGCATTCTGAGGAGGCATAATAGTAGATTAAGGGGTCAAGGCAACAGTTGAGGGCAGTCAGGGAAAGGCTGAGCATGTGAGCAAAAGTGATGCTCTGAAGCTGTTCAGGCGGGAAAAAGATTTGCATTAATAGCAGGATATTGGCCGGACCAAAACAAAGGAAGAAGGTGCACAGGACAACACCGGACAAGAAGATCGCACGTCTCTTCCTCCCTGGCTGCACCATAAACCTGGCCATAAAAAGTCGCCTTATAATGCATATATAACAAGTAGTAGAAATTAGTAACGGGATAAAAAAGAAGAAAATAGATAAGGCAAATAAGTAATAGTTGAAGGATTCCACAGGAGCAGACACCTCGAAGCAAGTGGTAATGTTCACCTGAGGTATCCACAGAATGAGATCAAAGGCAAGCAGCGGGCTCGCCCCCATTATGGCGAGCAGCCAGATGGCAAAACAGGTCACAGAGGCGCGTCTTGCTGTGCGCCAGGGCAGAGACTTCATGGGGCAAACCAAAGCCAAGAAACGATCGATGCTGATCCCTGTCATCAGCAGAACGGAGCTGTACATGTTGCAGAAGAAAGTAGAAGAGACCAACCGGCACATAGTAGGCCCAAAGACCCAGTCGTGTCCATTAATGAGGTATGCGATTTTAAAAGGCAGCATGCTCAGCACGACCAGATCTGCAAAAGCGAGATTGAGCATATACACCACAGCCGGCTTCCAAAGCTTCGTCTTCGTCACAAAAATATGAATCGCCAAAGCATTTAAGGGAAGACCCAGAACAAATGCAAGAATCTCGACCGCGGGGAGAAACTGGGTCAGCCATGGATTAGTGAAATACGTTTCACTATCACGTAAAAAGTATATGAGACTTCTTTCTTTATAGTGGATGTCTGGCAGATTATCATTTGTAGAATTGATTACAGCTGGCAAAAGTTTCCTGGGCTTAGATGAAAGAATAATTTGATCTGATGAATCTGGGGGGAAAAGAAAGAAAAAGCAGCAGAGAAATGAAATATATGAGCATTGCATGAATTGTCTTTGCATCATTTCATGTCATTCTTTTCATCAACATATACTACAGGAAATACTTGCTTAATAGCTGCCCTGTTTAGTGACCTTTTGAAGTTATGCCAACACTGAAAAAGGAACTTTGGGACTGGTCCTCACATTTACAACCGTCATCGCATCCCTGTGGTTGCAACTAGTGGGGCATCTTTACAACCATTGCAGCATCCGAGTCGTGTAATTGCCATTAGTGCACTGTACAGCCGACAAGCAGGGTCAACCGAGAAGCCGGAAATAAAATCACAACTCACAGTCATGTAAATGTCCTATTTAGTGTCCAGGGGTGATTCGCTTAACAACTATGGCAGAAATGAGCTTGTATGTTCATCATAGTCACATGTTGCCTTGCTTAACAATTGTACCACTTAGCAGCGGAGCTGCTAGTCCCAATTATGGTTGTTAATGAGGACCACCAGTATGCAATATGTTTCAGAGTAGAATATAATCAGAAATTGGGTCGCATTCCTTTCGACTATCACATCTGACTAAGAAGCACAAGCTCTGATGAATCACAGCATTCTTCATCAAATACGTAGGGTGGCTGTACTGCAAAAGGACTTTTGTCTATCAAAACTCAGGTGGGAGTGAGTGATGGGAGTCAGGGCTGCCCTCCTGCACTTCTGTACTGGGAGAAGTTGCGCATCAGAAAAGTCTGCGCCTTTTAATAAAATATCTGAATCTGAAAATGTGCCACCAGGTCCCTGCTGGGTTTCGGTTACCATAAACTAACATGGATCTCCTCCTACAATGTCTAGATCAGAAAGTACTGATTTAGATTCTTAAATGTATCCATTCCGAGACAAATGAGGTGCTATACTTTTGTTTAAACTTTTTTTCCCTAATATAATTGGGACACTTCAGGTTCTAAATCATCAGATTCTAGAGCAGGTATAGAATTGAGCTGGGGGAGCATTATGAGCTATATTGTTCAGCAACAGTAACAATGACAATCACAACAACAACCACAATAATTTGACAATCTTTTTTTCCCCAAAAGAAACTCAATGCAAATAGGGTGCCTCTTTACAAGAAAATTCGGAGAAGTGCATCCATTTCCTCTCCACTGAAATCCAATATTAAAGCTAAAGTGAACATCCATAAAACTGAAACATTGTAATGAATAATACTTCCCAATTTCCCACACTTTACCTCATGTAAAAATCGCTGTATTAAAAGTGACTAACCACAGTGACATGTACTCACTATTTGTGTTCACTGTAGCAAATAACATGCAGAGTATGAAGAGAAGGGGAAACAGCATCTTCATCGAAGAGTCCATTTCTTCTTTGGAAAAGCTGCTAACCTACTACTATAGGTTTCTCAGTGCAAACTGTAAATAAGCGACATTACAAAAACCACCTTCCTTTTGTCTGATCCAGGTTTAATGGAAACATAATTTGCTTCTTTACTTTTTCGTTCTGTTGGGATCTGAAGATTTGCTTAAACCTGAAACCATTTCAATCCATGAAGTCAGAGGGCAGCATAAGAAAGAAGAAACGGTGAGATTTCTCTTTTGGGCTGGTCCAAAAAGCATTTTATGGGCAATCTCAGGCAACTTGGCTCATTTCCTTTCTTCCTTTAAAATATTTTTCAGGAGAATAATGAGTTGTAATAATGGGAAAGCTCCAATGATTTTATCCCTCGCTCTTTAATTTTTGTCCTCAAAAAGTACTTCCTAATAGCATATTGTTTCTGAAAAACACATTATGGTAGATGTTATGAATACAGATGCATTTATTGTGGTTGTAAATGAAGACTGGCCAAGAAAAAAAGGAAGAGAAGATGGCAAATAAGCTCTTTAATCAACAGAACTCATATCTTCTCAGTTGACTAAATGATCTGTTTTATTTCTCATCCCTGTAACTTGAAATTGGAAGATTTATGTCTAAAACCAGCCAATAGTATTTTTCATTCTAAATACAGTCAAAGTACAGTACCATGTGCATTCTGTCTTAATCTCATGACTCTGTGTTAATCTCATGAGGCTGTGTGATTCTTTAAAAATTGCTTCAATTTCTAAGTTTTTTGAAGCAGCTTCATAACTCAAAACCAAGTCTAAATTGAAATAAGTAACCTTAGGAAGGACTTCTCAGATTTTTATGCTGCTTCTAAGAATTGTTACAGATACTACTGTATGCAATGTTGAAAATTCATTTAATTGAGTCTGTCATCTGCACCTCTATAACTGTCTGGTTTGGTTCTGCAACCCAACAAGACAGACTGAGACTTCAGAGGACAATCAGAACTGCAGAAAAAATAATTTCTGCCAACTTGCCTTCTGTTGAGGACCTATACACTACACAAGTCAAAAAGAGGGCCGTAAAAATATCTACAGACCCCTCGCAACCTGGACATAAATTGTTTCAACTCCTACCCTCAAAACGATGCTATGGAGCACTGCACACCAAGACAACTAGACATAAGAACATTTTTTTCCTGAACACCATCACTCTGCTAAATAAATAATTTCCTCACCACTGTCAAGCTATTCACTAAGGCTGCATTACTATTACTATTAAACTTCTCATCGTTCCTATCATCCATCGCCTCCCACTTAAGACTGCATGACTGTTGCTTGTATCCTTACAATTTATATTGATATTGTTTCCTGATTACTTATTTGTACCCTATGATTCTTGACAAATGTATCGTGTCTTTTTATGTACACTGAGAGCATATTCACCAGACAAATTTCTTATGTGTCCAATCACCCTTGGCCAATAAAGAATTCTATTCTATTCTATTCTATTTCTGTATATGAACTCTGACAATGACTTGAAAACCAGACCATTAATTTTATAACTTCATTTGTCTCTGTGGTTATTGAAGTTGATAGTCGGAAAATTGGCATGGATAATTTCTAGTTTTGTTTGTACCCTGGAATATAAATCCCTTGTCTAGTTCAAAGTAAGTGCAAAGATCAGTCAGTTCAACTAGTGAAATACATAGCTTGATGCTGCTTTCTTAAACTTCAGAAACATCAAAGCAGTTAATTGGAACCCAGAACATGGGTTCTATGGTAGGCCAAAGAGACAAAGACATAAACAACAGGTGACAATTTAATTGTGTATTTCTATATTTATACATCCAAAGACACAGAATATTCCAGGGCTACTGGAAATAATACTGAGAGTAATTAGTATGGATGGTCCCAGAGGGAGAAATCCTTTAGTAAATCCAACCTTAACTCTATTTGTTTATAACAGCAGCAGGATAGAGCTGAAAAACAAGGCATCAGATCACTACTCTACGCTTGAAGAAAAAAACAGTTTCCAATTGGATATAGGAATGATGTGTCCACCAAAAACTGCTTTGGGCTTTGTTCATTCGGCTTCCTTAATGTGGTTATTCACAAGTACTAATTGCCTTGGGTTAAAAGGAATGTCAGAATGTCCTCTCCAAACAGCTCCTAACAGGATGAGCAACTCTGGAGACGATCTTGGGTCAAACTTAACTTTTGAATGATGCATGATTGGAATGCTTTGAAATCTTTTGACAATGAAGGAATGAGTGACAAGTTAACATTAGGAAAAAAATAGCCATCTGTTTGATTGTTTTAAAAATAGGAAGCAAGAGCTAGGAATGTTACTGTTTTGTTCTATTTTTTAAAAAATTATACCTCACCATGCCAGTCCACTTTTGCTATCTCTGCTAACTAATCATGGTCAGCAAGCTGCAACCCTAACTCACCCAAGCATGTCACTAGTGAGGGGCTATTTCCCAGGAACAACCATATATTCCATATATGCTGGATAAATTAGAAGAGTTGGTCTCTTTTTACATATAGCACTTAGCAATTAGACTTATATATTGTTTCATGGTGCTTTTACAGCCCTCTCTAAGCAGTTTAGAATCAGCCTATTGCCCCCAACAATCTGGGTCCTCATTTTACCTACCTTGGAAGGATCGAAGGCTGAGTCAACTTTGAGCCTTTGAGATTCGATCTGCCAAATTGCAGGCAATTTGACCAAGCTAGTACCCTTTGAAGGAGCTGTCTCTTGGAGAATATCTATGTTGTCTCTAAGGAAGAACATCAACATAATGGCATTTAATCAATATCAATCAATAAGTCAATGAAAGCAGCTACCATCCCTGTTATCTTTATAATAAGATTTGATGATCTACCTCTGAACCAGCTATACAGGGGACTGGAAGCGTGGGAAAGGTATTGTAGAGGTTCTCCATGGTTGATCCCAGTCAGTGTTGGTGGGGTAGGAAAGATTAAATCTGAGATTCCTGGTCTGTGGCGTCTCTTAGGGTTCAATTATTTTCCTTCTTCTTTTAAGCTTCTATATGAAACTGCTAAATATACTCACCTGAAAGAAGCCAAGTGATGCTCTCAAGATTCTGTCACAGTGCCTGAAAGTTGTTATGAGCCTGGATGGGGAGCAAACGGGCTTAAACTCAACTTTAGCAAGATTTAAGGGGCTGTGGGCTCATGGATCATTGGATTTTGTGATTTACCAACTTGGGCTCCAGAGGGAATTATACTTTTCTTCCTTAAATGGAACTGGTACATAATCTGAGCTCTTTTCTGGACTCACAGCTCCTACTTGAGAGGCAGTTGACAGCCTGATCAGGAAAACTTTTGCACATATTTGTCATTTCACCAAATGCACCCCTTCTTGGACAAAATCTGGACCTTTCTCATGATTAATCCTCTAGTCACTTTATACATACATTAGCCCTTGTGCCTACCCTTGGAGAGTTAAAGCTAGTCCAGAATGCCTTAGGTTGTCTATATAATTATAACAGCCTATGTTACCATAGGCTTTCAGGTGCAACTTAAGATTCCAACCATTATATATAAAACCTTACCTGGCAGAAGGCTGGATATGTGTGGACCGTCTTTCTCCAATTGTGTGTGCCCATCCTATAGGTTTGGGTTCTGAGAATGCCAACTTCTGAAACCCGGGTGGAGGGGTATCTTCTCTCTTGCTGTTTTTTTTTTTTTGGGGGGGGGAAATCAGGAACAGCCGATTTGTTGGCGGAAAAGTAAGTAATTTGTGCTATAGCCATAGAATCAAAGGGCGTTATAATAAGTACCGTAGAGAAGCAAAGAAAGAAACAAGATTTCTCTGGGTCAAAGATAGAGACCCCATGTGATCATAAATTCATCATGCCTTTTAAATGTCCATGAGAGGATGGGGAATGTTGAATACTAGCGCGGGAAGTAAGGTCTCCCTTTCTGATTGGTTCTTGGGCGGAGCCGGTTTAACCCTCTCTCCG